AACGGTTGGTGGTTCTGCGTTTGGTCAAACCGCTCCAAACCAAACGGTCGGCAGTTCTGCATTTGGACAAGCAACTACCACACAGGTATACATTTTAAAATTATTGTAACTTTATGATTGTTTATGTTTGGTGTTAATATTAATAAATTGTTCCAAATTCTTTTCTACAACAAGAAATAAATAACCAATTAGACTGGTATCCCAGTTTTATCTGTCTAAAAGCTACATTGGCTATTGGCGGGAAAATAAGGTTATGTGGGTTTTGACCCATTAAACCTGCCGGGTTCACAAATCTCCAAGAAATGTACTGGACCCTTAGAATAGTATTATTCAAGAGAGCTTTTTTTTTACAGAATGCACCACAGAATTTGTCATTTGGCCAAACACAACCACAAACAGCTGCCCAGGCCTTTGCTAATGCTGGAGGTAATTTTTTTATGTTTTAAACTAGCTGTAACTGTGGCTATATCCGCATAATTCTAAATTTCACAAATGACATTTTTGTTCAAATTATTCACCCTCCTAAATTAAACAGTTTGAATATAGTGATGTATATTTGGAGCTTTTTATTAAGAAAATTATTATTAAAAAAACTCTGATTGCTGACATCTATACTAATATTATAAAGAGGAAAGATTTGTATTTTTGTATATATTGAAATAACTCAAAAACTACGGGGCAAATATTCTTTCACCATTAAAAAGTTATTGCTGAGTAACATAGGCTATGCTTTATTATTTTTTCACGTGGATAAAGCTATGAGCAACAGATAGTATATTTTACATCATACTTCATACTTATATTTTTTTTATAAAAATTATTAGATTTTTGTTAATTTACTAATATTTCCTTCTACCATTCCATAGTTGGAACCTAAAACCATATCCTAAAAGGTTAAAGGTATCCTAAAAACCTTAAAGGTTTAGACCTTAGTAGGTTTAGACTTGTGCTAGGATATGGTTTACAATAGTCGAATGGCGGGATTCGAACCCTTGACCGTAAGATCGGTAGTCCGTACACAAACCATTAGGCTTTTAACGCTTAATATGATAAATGCGAAAGTTTGTTAGAGTTTGTCTTAAACTGCTGATTGGATTTCGATGATTTTGGTATAGATGTAGAGGATAGTCTGGAAAAACACTTAGACTACTCACTTTTACATTTTTTTAGTTCCACCCTGACGATGTCGAGGGCGAAAGCTAGTAATTTATAAAAAATACAAAACAAAAGTAAGATTATTCTATTTTTTCCAGGACCATTTAGTGGTAGTGCAGGACCAGGGTTTTCTTTTGCTAAAACAACAGCTAATTCCGGATTCTCTTTCACACCAACATTCACAATGCCAAGTTCCCAGCCAGCGGTGAGTATACATCTATCTAAGAAAATTGGACTGTCTGTTTGTAATATCAAAAAAAAAACAGATTTTGAGATGTATTTGCGTTTCTGATAACAATTTTTTTTTTGTCTGTCTGTTTTGTTCCGTGTAATCTCCGGAACGGCTGGGCCTATTTCGACAGGACTTTCACTAGAGGGTAGCTGACATGGAAAGGCATGTTATAGGCTACTTTTTTTTTAAAAATTCCGCATTGTCAAAATGGCGTAACGCGTGGTCCAAATTTGAGATACGAAGTTTGCTCGCGACAGCTTGTTATAAAAGCTAAACAGTGTAATTGAACTAAAATATAAACATTTAAATATTTTTTAAAACTATTAAAGCCTATCAAAACAAATTAGTGGAAAATATGTCAACTTAGCAAAGTTAACACATTTTCCACTAATTTGTTTTTGGAAGCATCCTCTATATGTTTTTGAACCTCTAATATTATAAATGCGAAAGTTTGGATGGATGGATGTTTGTTATAATTTGTAGCTTAAACGGCTGAACGGATTTCAATGGAATTTGGCACTGACCAATTTGACGAAGAGGATAGTCTGGAAGAACATATAGGCTATTCATTTTTTTTTAATTCGGACGGAGTCGCGGGCGAAAGCTAGTAATTTGATAATATTACAGACGACAGCTCAAACGACACAAGCTAACTTTACTCTGACGTCAACGCCGAGTTTCGCACAAAGTACGCCGGCGTTCTCACAGATGTTTGCTAAACCAGGGTTCACTGCCACCACGTCTGCTGCAGCGGTCACCACTACAGCTGCTGCCGGTAAGAGTAAAAAATCCGATTTTTTAACTAATTTTTTAACCCTTAAATGCGTGATATTCTTTAAAAAAAATATGTTTTTGTGTATTTTGAGTGGTATTGTAATAAATATAGATTACGAGCTGTTGCCCGCGACTTCGTACGCGTGGTATTAGAAAACATACAAACTATATAAATTACAAAAAGCTACGTATCCCTCGGGAACCGGACATTTCTCGGGGATAAGCTTATCCCATGTGTACTCCAGACTTTGTCTTATATCTGTGCCAAATTTCATTAAGATATGATGAACCGTTGCAGAATGGTCGAGTAAACATTAAAAAACTAAATTAATGAATCCCACGAGAACCGTAACTATTCCTGGGATAAAAAGTAGCCTATGTGTTCTTCCAGACTATGTTCTAAACCTGTGCCAAATTTCATGGAGATCCGTTCAGCCGTTTAGGCTACAAACGCTAACAAACATCCATCCATCCATCCAAACTTTCGCATTTATAAGATTAGTAAGATTTAAAAAAAATCTAGCATCTTTTATACTTTTTTAATCCGTATGTTTGTCTACTTTTTATTTCTGTTTAAATATTTTTCATGACCAATTAAAGATTACATCGTTCAGAAACAAAAATTATTATTCAAAATCTAACTAGTGTTATAAATGCGAAAGTTTGGATGGATGTTAGAGTTTGAAACTTAACCGGTTCAACAGATCTTGATGAAATTTGGCATAGATGTGGAGGATAGTCTGGAACAACATATAGGCTTTTTAATTCCACGCGGACGGAGTCGCCGGCGAAAGCTAGTTATTAATAAATTATAAAGAGTTGTTAAATCCATGGATTTTTGTATTAGTAAGAAGTAATCAAAATAAATTGTAATAATAATAAAAAAAATTTACTTACAGCGCCATCTTTCGTCACAACATCATCTAATCTCAGTCTCCAACAACCGAGTTTCTTGCCACAACCAACAACTGCCAATGCAACAAGCGCTGGCTTCTCTTTCTCTCAAACTCCAGCCACAACCTTCCCTACAAGCCAACCGCAAGCCAGCAAACCACTAACTTTCTCAACACCGACAACTCAGGCTACAAGTCTTAGCTTCACGATGCCAAGTAGCCAGGCTAGCCAAGTCACACAAGCTGTTAGCCAAGCTACACCGGTAACTACTGAAGCTCCGCTTAGCTTCAATGTGACAAGCCAGGCTACAACTGTAGCCACAACTAGCCTAGGGTTTGCACCGACAATATCCAGCTCTATGGCCTTCATAGGAACAGCTCCGACCAGTGTTAGCTTGTCGTTGGCAAAGACAACGGCTACTACTTCAGCCACTGGTAAGTTTTTATTGATTTTATCTATACTAATATTATAAAGAGGAAAGATTTGTATTTTTGTATGTATTGAAATAACTCAAAAACTGGGCCAATTTCAAAAATTGTTTCACTATTAAAAACCTTGCGATCACCGACTAACATAGAATGTATTTTTTTGCAATTAATTTCACGTGGACGAAGTCGCGAGCAATAGCTAGTCTATACTAATATAAAGAGCAAAGATTTGTATTTTTGTATGTATTGTAATAACTCAGAAACTACTGTGCCGATTTAAAAAATTCTTCATTAAAAGCTATGTTATCAATGAGTAATAAAGGCAATATTTTTAATTATTTTTTAACTTATGTAATACTTTTTGTAACTAATTAATTTAACTTTAAATAAACACTGACTGAAATTTAATTAACCATAAAACAGCTCAAAGTGTGTGGAGTTTTTTTTTAACTTACCCCAATTTGAAACTATCATACTAATATTATAAGTAAGAATGTTTCGATGGATGGATGTTTGCTAGAGTTTGTAGCATAAACTGCTAAACGAATTTCTATCAAATTCGGCTTAGATGTAGAGGATAGTCTGGAAGAACACATAGATTACTCACTTTTGTTTAATCCCACGCGGACGGCGTCGTGGGCGAAAGCTAGTATGATATAAAGATTAAGGAATGAAGTGTTACTAGACCTATTTTGTTTACCTAATTTATTAAAAAGAAATTTAATGTCTTAATTGACATTGTCTATATGACACCATATGTCAATTTCTTAAAATCAAAACAATGTAAATGGATTTAATTAATTAAAAAAATTATAAAAGCAATATAACAAGAAAAAAAAAACAGAAATGCAAATGTAAGGATATCCTTAATATTTAGTCATGATAATAATATTAGTATTATTTAGTTACAAATAAAAGTGTGTTTTTAAATGTTTGGCTAAAAAACTAATGTTTTGAATGAGTAAAAGACAAAATAAAAATTGTAAAAAGTTTACGCTAAATTATTGTTTTTATTATGAAATAAGTAAAATTTGGAAGAAAATAATACGTAAAAGATTTTAATTGGATATAATAAGATAAGATAAGATAATTGGACGTAATAAGATTTTAATTTCACGAAATGGCGGGAACAGTGACAGCTAAATAGGGTTGCCATATATTGAAGACTTAATTTTGTTGTAGCGACTCCAGCAAGCACTGGTATACTGTCATTGGGCAAGACAACTACTTCCACTACAATGACAGCACTTACCACTGCTACCACGTAAGTTTTTTTTTAATATAAGATGTCAAACTCGCAATCGGCCACCTGAATCCACCGAAATGGAAAGCGACCGCTGCCCATAAACATCCACTATTGTAGATGCGTTGCCTACCCTTAATTGACGGAGAAGGAGACGCACATAAAAAGGACATTTCCCCTTCCTATGCGTTTCCTCCACCGTCAAATCCACTTTTCCTGTCCATCCTTTCCACTTAAGACAAGGGTGGAAAGGAAAAGCGACTAAAATTAGGCCTCCGGCACCACACTCATCAGTCTGTACGTGGAATTGCTTCCACTTCAGGCCTGTTTTCTGTGTGGTTGTGGTTTTACTGGGGGCGAGCCGGCCCTGCAGTGCTAACATGTTAAAGCGTGCTCTACCACTGTTAAGTACTGTATATATCGAAATTGGATAAAAACCCTAATGTTGGAAAGGGACCATAAGCTACAAGCTGCCAACATTAAGGAAATAAGATTGTCATCATGTCATTTTGACATCTACAATTGATAATTTGACAAGCGAAGTCGCACAGGAATAGCTAGTTAATGAAATATTTGATGGTTTTTCAGTACGACAGCGTCAGGTCCTCCGCAGCCAGTAACGTCGATAAGTTTCGCGCAACTGGAGGAGAACATCAACAAGTGGACGCTGGAGCTGGAGGAGCAGGAGAAGATCTTCATCAACCAGGCCACGCAGATCAACGCCTGGGACAGGCTGCTCATTGCCAACGGAGATATGGTCAGTTCATACAAATTATTCATACTAATATTATAAATGTGAACGTTTAGATAGATGGATAGATGGATGGATGTTTTTTAGAGATTGTAGCCTAAACATCTGAACCGATTACGGTCAAATTTGGTACAGTTGTAGAGGATAGTCTGGAAAAAAGCTAGTAATTAATACTCGCTTTCTTTATATTTCTGGGGAAAAAAAGCTATCTTTATCTTTATTTGCTTTCCTATATGTTTGATAATTTTTATCCTACTGATATTTTGTAAATGTACAGTTGTGGAAATTTTCGGTTGTCAATTTTCCGCTAAATTAATTTATTCTTTGCATTTGGACAATTTTTGCCTCTACAGTTAACTAATTAAGTAATCATTAAGTTAGCAAGTTATGGGATAATAATAAAAAAAAACTTTTCGTGAACTATCTATTAAACTTTTTTGTAGTCGCATTTAATGGTTATCCTATTGTTAATTCCATTTCTTGACAACATTCCACACCAGCAATGAATCTTTAGATATTTGATATGAAATTATAGCATTACATTTTTTTTCTCTGCATTATTTCTTGTCATTTGTCTTGGTTTTTACTTTTTTTTGTTTAAATGTATTTATTATATTGTAATGTGTTTGAGCTGACTAAATGTTCATTATTTCTTTAGATATATAAGGAACATGTTCAATAACCTTTTGATATGATCTGAAAATAGTCCTTATTTTATTTATTATTTGTTTAGATAGTGGAGTTGAACGACACCATCCAGAGTGTGAAGAACGAGCAGCAGAGCCTGGAGCACGAGCTGGACTTCGTGGTGGCGCAGCAGCGCGAGCTGCAGGAGATGCTGGCGCCGCTCGAGCGCGGCCTCGCAGACACCGGCCTCAGGGACCCCGAGAGGGACCACATGTCCGTACTCCGGATAACTCTACTGATAGTGATAACTGACTGACAGTGACGATAACTAATGGATAACGACAACTAACTAACAGATGGCGATAACTGACAAATTACGATTACTGACAGAGTATAAAACTAACTGACGGATGATGATAAGTAACAGATAACTTTAACTGGTAGATATAACATTACTGACAGATGACTATAACTAACAGAGATTTTGATAAACTGACAGTTAGCAACAATTAACTGATAACCAAACCTACCAGACAGTTGCCGAAAACTCACTGACATATTTATGTTATTTATTTAACGAATATAACTAACAGGGGATAATTAGGATTACTCCTAATTATCTCCTGTTCCAAAAGTCTAAGGGTCTCCCACCAAATTGTAAATTGTCTTATAACAACCCAATATGTCAAATATGTGATGGACATATCGGAATTATTACCTAATCTGACAGTGACGTTATTTTTAAGCTATCTGAGCCTCTATCAGCCAGTAGTGGGATAGGTCCTTACTATAAAAACTCATTAATTTTAAATCATTGTCACCATTTTATATGTCTGTATTTTTTTATTTGTTATAACAGGTACACCCTGGCTGAGAATCTAGACACACAGCTGCGACAGATGTCAGAAGATCTGAAAGAGGTTATTGAACATCTAAATGAGACCAACAGGAGCCAGGACACTAATGACCCTGTAAGTATTTCACTTTATTTATTTAAAAACCGATAATTATTAACTTGCAATGATTCTTTATTTAAAAGTGTAACACTGACTTTCGCCCGTGACTTCGTCTGTATAAAAAAAATGATAATAATATAGCCTATGTATTTGTGTCAAATTTCATCAAAATCCGTACAGCAGTTTAGTCTACAAACTCTAACAAACATCTTTCTGTATTTTCAGTTATAATATTAGTATGGTTTAGATTTTTTTATTTATAATTTAATGGTAAATTCGTTAATTCAAGAATGGAGTTTGGATTAAAATTCCACCTCAGAAAATATAAACACTGTTTAGACAAACAGATATTTTAATTGATTACCGATATTAAAAGATATTGCATTATTTACATGTTGCTTTTAATATAAGCACTTTTATCTCTTTAATAAAAAGCTCTACACTTAAATATTTTCACGGTATTACTTGGGGCGTAAATAAATTTGAAAAAACCATGTGAGAAAGGGACAAAAACTACAAGCTGTCAACATTAAGGAAGGAAGGTTGCCATGGTAACCGTAATTGTTATCCATTATCGTAGGACTTCCATGTTATTTGTAATTGAGAATTTAACTAATGTAAATAAATCTTATTAATGCGAAAGTTTAGATGGATGGATGTTTGTTAGAGTTTGTAGCATAAACTGCTGAACGGATTTCAATGAAATTTGGTCTAAATGTGGAGAATACATAAGCTACTCATTATTTTTTTTAAATTCCTTGATGACGGAGTCGCGGGCGAACACTAGTATGTAAATAATATATGCTTAAATTCACCTGAAAATGTTATCTATTTCAGATAGTTCAAATTGGACGTATTTTAAACGCTCATATGTCGTCAATGCAGTGGATAGATAACTCCATCGCGCAGATCTCAACCAAACTGGACCAGCTGAAAGTGACACACGACACGCTGCGTAGAGACAACGAGAGATCCTTCCAGCTTACATATAACTGAATGTAATGTTAGGGAAACTCGCGGTGACAACATTTGAATAATATAGACGAGGCATATTGAATTAAATATTAAAATTTACCCTTAGTTTTTTTTTTTAAAAACCAGCGCTTGACCACGACCTGAACTTAGTAAAGATTGTTTGAAAAATATCTCAAGTGAAGTGTGAACTATGCCTCCTCTTTATTTAAACTTTTTGTACGCATTAAGACTTTACGCGGCTCTTAAATTACTGTACCAAAAATGCGTTTTACACGGAATTGCTTTTTAATATACGTTTACACTCAACTTAGTTATTTTTAACAGTGGAACACTGCGAATTGCCCTGATTGTACAAATTGTGATGTAATCATTGTATATTGAAAACAGATTGTAAATGTCCATCTTAACCAAGTTTCTACTCCAGATTCCTTACAATATATTCATCCCTTTCATTCAGTTTGGGGTAACAGAGATAACAGTACTTGTGTGTTTTTTCAATAACAGTAATTTAAGAGAAAATACTGTAACCAGCTATTTACTCGCGTCTTCGTACACGTGGAATTAAAGTAGGGTAAAAAATACAACCTATTTACTCAGATAACGTAGCTTTTTAAAGATGTAAGAATTTTTGAAATCGGCCCCGTAGTTTTTGAGCTATTTCAATACATAAAAAATATTACGTCTTTACAATATTCGTATGGATATAGACGAATTAATAAAAACTACTGGACCGTTTTAAAAAATCTTTCACCAAAAAAGCTATGTTATCACTAACTTAGAATATATTACTAAATCGGTTTTTATACACTAACGAAGTCACGGGCAATAGCTAGTGTTGTATTTTTACCTCCAATCAATGTTATGTTTCAATTCAAATTCTAAATGTAAAAGCTTTTGTCTGTCTCCTCATTTTTTTATTTCCAATGAAAGTAATTAAAAAATGTTTGTAGATTGATTGTAGTTTTTTGTTTACAATAATATTTGATTTGGAATATAATTTTACTGTAATATTTTGTCAATGAATATTAGAAAATAACTTAGTAATTTATTTTAGAGACGCGCCAATACTCTAATATAGCCAATTATGCGGTCGAAGGTTCGAATCCCGGAATTCGACAATTAAAATTTTAATAAAAATACTATGTCCTCTAATGATTTAATTTATTCAAGAAATGTTAGTAAATTAACAAATATTAGCTTATTTTAATTTTCTTAAAAAAATATTGGATTCAAATCTTTTATTGCCGTGAAATTACTTAATTGTACATGTATTGTTGTCTCTATTTTTTAAAGAAAAAAGGGATGAAGATATGAGGCTGTTGACAGCGTTACCCATAGATATTGTATTCAAGTATTACATAACAAATTAATGTTTAATTTGATTCAGAACTTACATCTATATAATAAAGTTGATTTTTTTTAAAGAATTTTTATTTTTTCCCAAATAAACCTTCCGTGACTAGTTTTAGTTCCAAATAAAAAAATTCTATCAAATCTTTATCGCAGATAAAATTGGACTTTCTACTATTTTGATAAGATTTAATTTGGCAAGTCTTTTAAGTTCAAAAAACAAGTGAAATTAAACCTTGTCTTAACTGAACAAAGCTCAGTTTTATTTGCGATAAAAATGGAATCTGCCTTAAGTTTACCTAGCTAAGAATAATCTTATTCAATGTATATAGTATAGCTATAGTCGTACAAATGTCCCCAAAAGAAATGTTTGATTTTCCGAAACATGGCAATACTTTTATATTCTTGGCAAAGCTATACTATCTGTAGCCAGACCAGAAATATAACAACCATCACTAACACATATTAGAGTATTTGAAAAAGGAGATTTGAGAATCTTGAGGCTAAAATTTTTATCATCTTTGTTAGGTTACTTTAACGTTGACTAATTTTTGAGTTTTCAACAACATATAAATAAAACAAAAAAATCAACAATAACTTTAATAAACAATGCCAGTTATAAAACACTGTAATTGTACATTCTCGTCCGTCTGCAGGCAAAGTGTTATAAGACGTTTGTGTACAACATTGCAAGTGACACGATTATGTGTTATTTGGTCTGCGTTTAGGAACATTGATAGTTTTTTAGCATCTACCCTACAAACACAAATTCTAGAACGATCTTCATTAATTTGTGTCTCGGATTCAGAGTCAGAATGCTCGATGGGACCTGAAAAGTTTAATTTAGTTAATGTAGTCTATCTTATTAACCCTTAGTAATTACAGTAATTTCTTTATTTTTGGTAACTTTGATACCAACTATAGGAAAAAATCCCTCTCTTTTTTGAAAAAGTCATTTATTTTTTTAATTTACAGGATTCACTTACCTAAAAACAGTTACCAATATACAGTTACTTTAAAAAAAAATTGGTTTGAAAAAAGGGATAACAATCATACTATCACCATCAAATTAATATTACAAATGTGAAAGTTTAAATGGATGGATGTTTGTTATAGTTTATAGTCTAAACTGTTGAATAGATCTCAATGAAATTTGACTTAGGTGTAGAGAATAGTCTGGAAGAAGACATAGACTACCTGATTTTATTTCTTTTTATGCTGTGTCACAGGCAAAAGGTATAAATGCTAAAGTTTGGATGGATGGATGTTACTATATATCTCCAAGATGGCTTAAAGCCTTAAAGGGTCTCGCTGAATGGCATAGATGTAGAACATAGTGTAGTAGAACACAGACTATTTAAAGACTTCTTACAGACTAAGTAAAAAAGAATAATTACATACCTTCGAAAGCTTCGACTTTTAATGCCTTAAATCTAGTAGAGACTTTAGCAGTGTCTGTTTTTATTTGCAAAGTTAGTCTGCCCTCCGCAGAGGCTCGGATCAATACATCTGAACACATTGTCCTCATCCTATCTATTGTTGTTCTTAGCTGTTTTAATGATGGCAACTCTATTGAAATCTGAAAAAACATTGAGATATTCACATGTACAGTACAGTTTATCTAAAAATGGATGATTAGTTTGACAATTTAGTAGAGATGGATTGAATTAGATTGGTCATGAATTTTTTCGATATTATTTTTTTTATAACATAAGATGGCAAACGAGCAAGCGGCCACCTGAATCAGCCAAAATACCGAAGCGACCGCTGCCCATAGACATCTGCAAAAGCAAATGCGTCGCCTACCCTTATCCGACGGAGGAGGAAACGCACATAAAGAGGATATTTCCTCTTTCTGTGCATCTCCTCGATCGTCAAATTCACTTCCCCTTCCCATCCTCTCATAAGAAAAGGGTGGTAAAGAGAAAGGGACTTAAATTAGGCCTCCGGCACCACACTCATCAGACGAAACACGGCAGTGGTTCCATTTGACGCCTGTCTTGTGTGGTCGTGGTATTACTGGGGGCGTGCCGGCCCTGCAGTGCTAACATGTTAAAGCGGGCACTAACACTGTTAAAAGAAATTTAAACAAATTCTGTGTTATTTAATTTGTTTGTTCAAACTCAAATCAATCTTTACTTAAATTATAAAGAGAATTTTGTAGACACAAAAAAAGAGGATATTTCTCCTTCCTATGCTTCTCCGCAGTAAAATCCACTTTTCCTTTCCATCCTTTGCTCTTAAGTAAAAGGTAGAAAGGAAAAGGGACCAAAACTGGGCCTTCAGCACCACACTCATCAGACAATACGCGGAATTGCTTTCACTTCACACCTGTCTTCACTGTGGCCAGGGTATTATACCAGGCGATCCATTTGTGCGCAGATATTAAAGTGGGCTCTACCATTGTTAAAATAACTTAAAGTATTAAGTACAAATATGGATTCTACTTACATCAGGTTTCGGTACTTGAGGTTCATGGAAATCCGACCAACATTTCCTTGGTATAACAACAGCTGGTATGTCATGAATCACTTGTCTTGTTTGTTGTGATGTTGATGATGGCTGAAAATATTTTAAAAATAAGTGAGTACTTAAAATGCAAGAGGTCAAAACTATAAAAAAGCATTTTAAAGAAACAAAAGTAAATGTAGATTACTTTTGGTTTTAAAAAAATATAGATTAGCATATGGGCATGTTATGAATGTGGAGGGGTACATCGGTAGAGATAGACCTAGAAAGAGATGGATGGATTGTGTGAAAGGTGACATGATCAAAAAGGGAGTGATGACTGAGATGACGGATGATAGTATGCTTTGGAGGACGAATACCCGGTGCGCCGACCCTACGGGCATAGGATAAGGCAGGGGAGATGATGATGACGAGCATATGGGCATGTTATTTGGGTTGAATTGCATGTAACAAGAAGTATAGTTATGAGTGTGGAAGGGTACACCAGTAGAGGTAGACCTAGAAAGAGATAGATGGATTGCATGGAAAGTGACATGATGAAGGGAGTGATGACTGAGATGACGGCTGATAGAGTTATGTGGAGGACAAAAACCTGATATGCCAATCCCATAAGAATAGGATAAGGAGGAAGATGAAGATGGGTTATAAATAATTAAAAAGATAATGGGAAATAATTACCGATTCAATTTCTAATGTTAGACATGGACATTGTTTCTTTGTTAATTTCATCTTCAACGATTTAGCCGATTTGAGTGTCACTAGAGGTCTTGATAAATTCACTTGAAAATATGAAAAAAATATTAGTTTTTAGGAATCAATATCATAGAAATACAGCTTTTATTTGGCTAAAATAGATATCAAAAACAAGTACAATGTTTGCTGCTACGATTAACTTTAATTAACACAAAGGTTCATCTTATAAATCCACCCTGTTTTCTATTCCTTATTAAAGACTGGAACATTAAATATAAGAATAGAGATTGTCTACAACTACTAAAAGACTTTCATACCTGAACTAAATCCTAAGTATATATCATTGTGTTCATCATCTACTCCTGTTAATTGATATTCAGAGAAAAACATCATCTGTGGTATTTCACACCACAGTACAGGAGGTGCAGGACCACTTGAATCATCATTCACAATAAAATAAATCTTCTCACTTGATAATCGTAACACACACTCTTTTGATAACTTCGAAATTGTAGTCACAATATCTAAAACCAAATAAAATAATTTCACTAAACTAAGAAACAAGTTTTGTAAAAGCATTGAATCAAACAAATGATTACTTGAAAATTCTCTCATCGGCGCTGAATCGACCATAACTGCTCTAAACTTCATTGTTTTAACTTTTAAAATTGCGAAAATTTGCTTTCTTTTCCTTTAACAAAGTTTGTTTTCGCGGGTAAACAAAAATTAAAATGACATGACATTACACTGTCCACAGATACAGATTAAAAGTTTAAAAGCTTTGCAACATGAATATTTGTTTAATAATTTATTTAGAAATTAAAATATCACGTACCTTTTTTTATTAAAATCACGTTGCTTATAAATAATAATGAAACAGTAGATAAATAGGTATTTTTACATAAAGGGCTGACGATTCAAGGGTCCGGAAATGTTAACGCCAAACTATTAAAATAACAACGTTTTTGTGACGACATTTTTTTACACCAGTCAATTTCTTACGAAGATGTTAAGAAATGCGTGCACAGTAAATACTCTACTTTCCATTTCTTGAATCTAATAATGTTGATTTTAGGATTGCATTTATTTGAAATACAACATTCTAGACTTCTAGACTACACTTACCAAGGTACTCAGATATAAAATAATTACTTGCTACATAATGATGAAGTAAGCATCCTTCAGTAGGCTAATTGTTTATTAAATATATGGGAAGCTATTGTAACCACACAAAAATAAAGTAAAATAATGTTAAGGGAAATAAAATGGTCTATGGTATTTAGCAGTATTAAGTAAGAAAATAATTTGACCGTGTTTCGTAAGTTGTTATATTCAATTAGTCAGTTAAATCGAAGACATGGCTTTTCTGCCTTGAAAGCTGACTTATCAATAAATACCTAAGTATTACAAATACATGTTTACATAAATATAATATGAATTTCTTATTGGAATGACTGATGACAGTGGTAACATTGTGCCTATGATTGAAAATATTCAACTTCCTTTAAAGATGGCGCTGGACATTCTGATAAGTTTTATTCACAGTTCTCATTTTGCGTCTCTCTCTAACTTGTTATGATTAGCATAAACATGAGTGAAAGAGAAGAAATCTGCTTTTGATTGTAACGAATGTTAACGAATTGTGGTTATTTTACTGAAGTTTTTATTTATTTCAATAAGACTATTGTGCAATTTAAACAAATATATGATAGTATATATGTTGAATGTGGGATATATTTTAAATACTCCCTTTTTAAATGCAATTTCCAATGAAAAGGGATCCTATGGAGAACGACAAAAATAATCAGTCAAGGTATGTGTCCGATCAATACTGTTGTCATTATAACCACAAATATTTTGCATGTTATCTAAAAGGATAACGTGTCTTTCATATTCATGTGTGTTTCAATAGAAGCGTTTTCTTTATATTTACTGCTTTGTAACAAAATTGTATCTACGAATAATGGATCTGCGCGTCAAAATATATTTTCGTCAAATGGGTCACGGAACACCGTTAACCATAACGTTTTTACTTCGAATTCGATCTTTAAATATTTAACGGATTCCTTTTTCAAATGATATTTTGACATGTTGTTTTATTGTTTACTGAAACATGTGTAAACAGACTGGCGTTTATCTTATATTTCTAAACATTGAAGTTATTTGCTTCCCAATTGCGTTCAATGTCATAGCCTCTTTTGCGATTATGCAACGCTGCAATGACATGCCGTTAATTCGTAACAAGAAGAATGTTTTTCTCATTCGGCTTTTAATTCCGTTTCATTTCTTAATTTGATTTTAATATTCATATGACGTTTACAGTAGACAGTATTGTAACTAAACGTCTTGGAGGTTATTACGTTGCATTTGTTTACGTCATTCATTATTGTAATTGTCATTTACTATTAAATTACACCAACAAATTTTACTGTTATGATATCTTATAACAATTTATTTTTGTTATTCATGTGACAGGCTGAAGCGAGGGAGGGAAGGCAGACACTGATAGTCTTTAGCTCTAGTAACCAGAGTAAATGTAGAGACGTAAACAGTCAGAAACGTTCCTCAATATTTTTTTAAATGCCATTACTTACTACTAGTCTAATCTAATGAATTAAAAAGTTTATTTTATTTATCATTTTAAGAGATTGATAAAAAGACCAGTTTTAAATTGATAATACGTATTTTTCATCTTTACTGACCGTACTTATTTTTATTCTATTTCAATGACGTCACAATACGGCATAATTGCACTCCCAAAAAATGTTAATACCACAGATTAAATATTGTCGTTTCTTCCAGTGTGGAAGAAGATAAAACAAAATCATATATTCAGTTTCAAAAGGAGCGGCTGAAAGCTCTGCAAGCAAAGCTTTCTTCAGAAGCAGAAGAGGATTATGTCATCGTTAAAGAAGAGTGAGTATTTCTAACTATCACTAAAGACCAAAATATTGCTTTCTCTTTAAGAGAGAATGAGATAACGGTATATCTGTATGGGCTTTGTATTATGCGCGGTTCACACTTGGCCAGTTGGTTGCCAGTCCAGTTATTGAGCGCTACTAACCAACTGTACTAGACAAGTGTGTACCGCGCATAACGTTTTATTGTTGCACTGTATGAAACATGAGACGTATCCTGTTTTCATTGAGACGTTATCATATTTGCGGGTCGTAGAGGTCGGTAGGTAAGAATCGACAAATTCACGCCTGTAACAATACTAGTATTGGGCATTAAATCTTTACTCGATAAGTATTCGCGCGGACGAAGCTGGTTTATTATAAGAGTAAGACTGTAGTCTGCAGTGCAGGTATAAAAGAGTTAATCTTCCTCTGTGATAGATATTAATCTATACTTATATCTATATCTATCTATATTCTATATATCTATACCATTAAAATAAAGCGTAAACACACACTTCTTTGTTGCCTAAGATGTTGGCAATTACAGCACATTTTTGAATATTACTTTTTTAATAAAAAGCCCTACACTTACGTCACGCTTTAGGCTATTTATTTTCACGACATTAAACTTAGGGGATAAATATTGTGGATAAAAACCTAATGTGGGAAAGATACCATAAGCTGCTGCCAACAGCAAGAAAGCAAGATTGCTAAGGTTTGTCATGTTGACATTTGCTATTGCTAATTTGACAGATGTAAACAATAAAAAAAAATCATTATTTCATGCGGATGAAGCCGCACGGGATCAGCTAGTTATAAATAAAACAGGAATTATTGTGAACCTAAAAAATGTGACATATCCTTATCTGGGACCTGGAAGTTGTCTTTCCGGTGTACGCCGCCTCGCCTGCTCTCTGATGTCATTACAAGAATTACTTGATTGTTTAAAAAGTTGTCTCACCGCTAGAAACACACATCAACAAGATGTAATTATAATGTTGAAAATAAGATAAACTAATAAAAATTTCACTCGTTGTAAAATGCATTTATAGTTTTTGAAAGTAAATTCCTATACTTTTATAGTATTAATAGAACATAAAATGAGTTAATTAGAAAATTAAAAGGCGGTGTAATTCATGGTTAAAAGCGTGAAAGGGACAGAGGCATAAACACGCCGGTTCCCGCGCTGCTTGTCGCGCCCCGCGTTTTCGTCAGTCAGTCGGCGTCGCGCGCCATAGCCGTTGTGATTCGGTTTGTCGCGTTTAATTTTTACAATCTGCCGGTAATCATTAATTTAGAGTATTTTCACAAATTGATAGTGTTATTGTTTAGTAATGTGACGATGATTCGAAGGTCAAATGATAAAGGTGGTTTTAGTAACAACTGATCTTAATAAAGTGTGTAAGAAATGCAATTTCAAAGTAATGAAGAGGACGACTTACAATATCGGATTTTTGGCGAATCCTTCAATTTCCCTGTTGAAAATACATCGAAAGCCAGCAAAAGACGGAAGTATGTTTTACTTTGTTGATTACTTTAATTAATAAGTAAATATCTAGTAAAACCACTTCATTGGTAGTAAAGTACCCACAATATATAATTATAGAAATGCCTACACTAAACTTTTATAAACTAATAGTTAAGTCTTTGTACTATTTATATTATGTTCTGAAGTTCGGAATACCATAAATATAACAAAGTAAGAGGACAAGGAAACTCCCTTAGACAATGGAAATATTGTAAAACATATATCTATAGTCTACCTTCTAAATAATAAGATACTATTCCCATAGATTCTCAAAAGTAATTCAAAAACTTGTTAGTTTTCCAGTATAGACTAAGCGCGTCATCAGCCAATAATCCTAGGTCTAGGGAGGTAGACATCAAAATACGTAGTTATCGTATTTTATATTTTTGGAGCCAATATAAGAGTGGAGGGGGGAGGAGGCCTACCTTCTCTGCCCCGTGGCGGCGCCCATGTGAACGATAAACATATTTCCAAAGGGCTACAAAATAAGAGGCCACAGGGTTGCGAATGGCGAACTAGCTCGTTGAACCTTTGCAAAAAGTTTAAAATAATCAATATAACTGAGATTAGGAAGAATGTAAACACGCGGTTGACTTGTTTAGATGTCAAATGTCAGGTTAGACCATTAAAGTAGAGTTTCACTGTCGAAAACTCTCATATTGTTCTTCCTTTCATTCACCTTGAATAAACTGAGATAGCAATATCTTTTAATACGTGTTTCATCGATTAAAGTCCACGTTACACCCGAAATATTATTTACTGAGTACTTATGCGACAGTAAGACATAAAGACTTTTACATTAAATTTCATCTTAATAAAATAGGTTATTTAACATATGAATAAATTACTATAACAGGAAAACCAGTTAGTTGATAAGAATTATACCATTCTTTATATTATTTTCCAGTGTTAATATGACATACTTACATGGTAACCAATAAATAGTAAGGGTCTGTCCCACCAAATTGTAAATTGTGTTTGTTACCTTATCTGTGAGTGACGTCATTTTAAGCTATATGATCCACTCTCAGACAGTGGTGGGACAGGCCCTTAATCTAGTATTATAAACAGGAAAGATTTGTATTTTAGTATGTAACGATTAAGCAAAAATTCTTTCACTATTAGAAAGCGAAATTATCGCTAAAATAGGCTAATTTTATAACTAGAAACATTTTTTTAATTCCACGCGGACGAATTAGCGAACAAAAGCTAATCGGTAATATTTAACCACGCTTTAACAAATTAAAAATGTAGTAGTTATCTTTTATTATTTTTTCGTATTTCTAAAGTAGGTACTTTACAATGACGAGTACCATCTGATTTGCAAATAAATTCTTGGCCTCAGTCGTATAACCTTGAACTCGCAGGATATTGCGTGCTCTCAAAGACCTTGAAGCAAGTACAAGGTTTCACTAAAGTCTACACTGTGAGATACGAAATACATCCATGAGACAATAAATATTTGATCATATAAAAATGTCTTGACAAGGATAAGACTATTGTTGTTATGCAATTTTAAAGTGATTTTTCTTAATATTTCTGGTAAATATCATTTACGTTTGACATAAAAATAAGAAATTTTAAAGTTAACAATTACAATTGTATACGTTTCTTATACAAAACTTAGGTGTCTAAGAGTGCGCACGTGCTTTAACTAAAATATCGCACAACTGTTTTGTCTCGCGTTGATTCCTATGAGCTTATATGAAAGTACACTACTCGATTTTTACTTGTGCAACTAAACAGTTGAATTGGCTGCGAAACAATCGACAATCGCACAACTGTGCGATAGTTTGGTCAAAGGTGTGCGGCGTGCTCTTGAACTAAACAATATTACAAGTTGGACCAATGTCAAATATGGGTTATTGTCGAAAATATGCTATCCTTGTCATTCCAATTAAAAGAAGAGAGATGGCAATTTGGTCCTGTGTCTCAGCAGTGGAAAAATTATATATCTGTCCGTATATGGAACTATATTGTGTCCCTAAAATTCAACGTGGGCGGACAACATTGATGAATGAAGTCTGAGATCTAAACGGATGTTACGTAACTTAATTTAAATAATTCTGATGACTAGTTGTAATAAATCTTTTAACATTTTTATGTCCACGTTTTCTTCAATAAGCTACTTTAAGTCCATAATAATTTCTAATTAATATAGTTCATCATTATTAAATCTTTACTTAAACGCTAATTTATGTTGGGCATCATCCAAGATCTTTAAGGGTTTCCTATGTTCGGTATTCTACTAAATTATTTTAGTTCATTGTTTTGTTAGTGTGTACTTTGATGTAGAATTTAGGACCAAGTGGGTATTTTCTGGTAAACCTTTTTTGTGTATATGTACGTTGACGAAACGTTCTTTTGTGATCTCTTCGTATAAAGTCGATTTTATAGTACCTAGAATCTATAACTTGAGTAGATTTTATAGTTTTTTTATGTACTTACTGCGTTTCTTGTTTATGTGCGCTTTAAAAAATTTTCTCACCATTAAAGTGGATAGCCTTTTTGTATTACAATTAGAATGTACATTGACCGGTGCAACCCCTGTGAGGTAAACGACCAGTTGCAAGAGGGTGCCACCCCCGAGCCTTAATTACTTCACGTGCGCCCGGCAGATGGCAGTCAAGGTGCGGCCCAGTGATGTGCCTTGTTTATCGATAACATGTACATTATTTATGGTAATTCTATAACATTTGAATTTCTTATTTTTTTTACGGCTCCAAATAAAATGTCTTTTGTCTAGAATGAATTTATATGACATTTTTGTTGATTAGGGCTTGTTATCTATACACGGCTCCAAAAACTAAATGTTTTAACAATAGGGAATATGTATGTATTTTTTTTCTTTTTTTAAACGAAAAAAATTTAAAAAATCTTTGCAGGAATGTTTTTATGGTAATAAAGTATACTTAATAAAAGTTTGGTACAATTTGGCGTCATATGCATATTGCCTATTAAGGCAAAAATTATGTCTTCTGTTGAGTATTATTATAAAATAATGATTCTTCAGATGAGGCTATCTTAAACTTCAATAGATTATATCGAGTCATCTTCAACAATTAGGTTTTCAATTCTAGAAATAATCGAACAATCGATACTTGTGTTGTACATCACTATTGTCATAGTTTATTCTATGAATGTGATCGGTAATTGGGGTGAGCAGGACGCGACTTTCACACGATGCAACTGGCTTGTAACCTCTAATGTAATGCATTTGACGATCTTTGAAACTTTTTGCAATGACATGACATTTTGTTGCCACTTTATAGCGGGAAAAATTGTATTATTTTTAATGAACTTCAATTGTATTCCAGCTAGTAACATTGAAATTTGTGTTCAATTATTTTGAGTTTTTAATATGCAGTTAATAGTGACTGCTTTCGTTATTTTTATTAGCAAAATTATTTCAGTCTCTTTTGCAGGTTACGTCATCTTTTTTTTCATGCTAAAATAGTAGTTGATTATGTACTTAGAGAGCCAGTTTA